CAAACCAAGTGCTCCATTGTCTGTTTTTCTATCCAGGTGTGCTTTTATTGTACATAAAGTGTGTTTGGGATCATTGTCATGCTGAAGAATTAGGCCATTATCAATCTGCTGCTTGCCAGATGGTATTGAATGCTAGTTCAAATTCTGACCATACTTATCTGCATCCGTCATTTGATCAAGTTTTGACAATATCCCCAACATCACTGGGTGAAACACAGCCCCAAACCATGAAAAGGTCTCCACTTACAGATGGCTGTTGAAACTCAACCTCTACTGGCAACTCATTGAGCCAAATTTGGATTTATCACTGCATAAGACCTGTTAGCACTGATTTTCACTCAAGTTCTTGTGTAATTTGGCACAGGTAAGCCTTTTCTCCCTGTTCCCATTCCTTAACAAGAGCCTCTTGACAGCCATCTTTCCACTGAGACCATTTCAGCACTGTAAGATCTAATGAGATGACAGTATTTAAAAAAATTATGCAAACTTGTTGCCTTAGAGAAACTAATTACAGTTTATTTAAGATATACGCAGTACTTTGAATAATCAGATTTTTCTAAGAATGAATTAATGAAAAAGTCAACTGATGAATATGTCAGTTGAAATAAATAATTAGTTTTTAGCACTTTATATAGTTTGTTTTTGCTCTACAGGCCAATTAAAAGCTCAGTTGCACATGCACGCTGAACATGCATTTGAAAGTGCCTCCATTTTTATTTTTGTATAAGAATACACTAATATGAACAGTAAATTTGGGTAATCAGTTTTTAAATGCTCAGGGCTGAATTTAGATCCTCCAAAAGATATTTTCACATCAATGCATTAAAGCTGCATTACATTTTTTGGTTCCTCTGAAGAGGAAAACAAACAGTTTTCATTCATCTTTTGGCAGTAGCATGTATCTTAATGCTACACTGTGTTATTTGCTAACGCTGTAAGCTAGAGACATTCTGTACAGAGCATACAGGAGTTTTACCAAAACCTTTGAAATCTGAAAAAAAGAGTGGGAGTACAAGTTTTTATTGACCAGAAAACCATAATGAGCTGAAGAATGCCAAACTGCTACGTAAAGAAGAGGGGAAGTAGTGAGTGGTATTTCTCTCTGTGTCTGTCCCTCCAGGTTACACCTTTTAAATAACACGAGTTAATACATTAAGGAAAGGTTGCTTTTGTGACATTTGTTTTGGACAGTAGTCTACAATGCTCTTCTGCAAATATTACTGCTTGATGAGTGTATGTTTGCTGTGTTACTAAGTTTGGACAGGTTTGATATACTTCTAAATTATTCAGATTGTGGTCAGCAGACCTTTTGTCTATTGAGCAGCTGTTTTGTTTTGACAACACCACTGCCACAAGCAGTGTTTTATGTGCTGTATGCTGGATAAAAATAAATAAATTATCTTTACCTGCAGGGGTGCTCTCTTACCTGCAGACAACCATAGCCGCAATGGTGTGTGTGTGTGTGTGTGTGTGTGTGTGTGTGTGTGTGTGTGTGTGTGAGATTACCATACCCCCGATAGTAATTGGTTGCAGTAAGTCACAACGAACAAGGACAGATGGACTGAACAAATAATTTACAAAAACTAACGTCATTACTTTGATCTGTTTGTCAGAATCACCATCTAGTGCAGGTGCACAGTTGTAAAAACCCAACAGGAATAAAAAAAAAGAAACGAATTTCCTGTTTGTAGGCCTGGCCTTCAAAATAATAGCATGGGTTGTCTAACAGTCATCGTAGCCGTTCTAGTACAGCTAAAATAATCTACTCACTAAATTCAGTCCAGATCAAATGAAACATAAACTCCACCTGTTAAGCAGATGGCCTTAAGAGAAGAAATTTTGTTGAGAAAGTGGGATAATTACTTTAAACTTTCAGACTTATCAAGTATGTGATGAAACCATCCTGTTCCAAATTTCATCTCATAGTATTTTATTAAATATCTGAATTTATGCTGTTAAAGCATTTCAAGTAACTAAGCTAGGTCATTTTTGTGGGGTCCCATTTTATCTCATATTGCAAGGCTTCATTGATTATTTACTTATTTATTTATCATTTTTATATCGTGTATAATTTCATATCGTACAATTTTCTTAAAATTTGATTGGACATTATGTGAAGTTTGGTTAGACCATATGATTTTTATAGTTTAAATACTGTGACTGAATATTGTATGGGCTATATAACAGTAAAACTATCCAATCAGGCTGGTTTACTCTAAACATTTAAAATGCTCAATTTGTATAACAGTTTTCTAACACCACTTTTTAAAATTATGATATGTCCCTGTACTAGAAAAATACAGGTTCAATAATACATTTATTAAGGTAGTGTGTTTGACTGTACAGATAAAGTCTTAAAGGAAACAACAGTATCATTCTGTATTATGTATTTTCTTTTGACCAGCTGACTGCTAGAGGTACATTTGATTTTATTTTTTTAAGCATGCCTCTTATTTTTTGTGAACATTAAAAACGAACCACTCTAAGGACTAAACATATACTTGCAGTTATCTGGTCTTTGAAAAATGCAATGTATTACCCTGCCTACTAAAATATGTATCTGATTATCTGATTATTATTATTATTATTAATAATAATAATAATAATAATATTAATAATAATAATAATAATAATAAAGAAGAATGATGATGGTTTACGCTATGAGTTTTATTTTGAAAATCTGATGGCGGATGTTCATTTGAATGCGTTAACTTGACTCGTGGTAGAGCCACTGAAGACGGGACCGTGTTAGGTTGGAGTCGGAAAAAACCCCCAGACGTTGCAACATAGTGCACAGGGGTGGATCTGTGAAACGAGTCAAAAGGCAACATTAGCAGCGGAAATCTCACTGAGACTTAGTTCAACGGAAGTAGAACTGTAGCAAAGTCACTGTGCGCAACAGGTGTCAGTTTCTTTTCGTAAGCTCACTGTTTGAAAGTTGTTTGAGTAGGGGGGCTAAAAGTTTTCGTTGGTTAACAAAACGCCAACATGTCAAAACTTCGACCCAGGCTTTGTGTGTTGGAGAAAGGACCCAGCGGGTATGGGTTCCACCTGCACGGAGAGAAGGGCAAGATCGGGCAGTTCATCAGGCTCGTGGAGTCCGACACTCCCGCCTCCGAGGCCGGGCTCCTGGCTGGAGACCGATTGATGTTCGTGAATGGGGAGAACGTAGAGGGGGACAGTCATCAGCAAGTGGTCGCCAAGATACGGGCAACCTCTGGGGCTTTAGAGCTTATTGTGGTGGACCCCGAGACCTCGGAGCTGCTGAAAAAACACAACCTACAGTGTCGGAAAGAATTCGTCACAGAAGGAATTCCCATACCAGGCAGTGACAGCGACTCAGACCGCGGGGACACTCAGAGCAACGGCACCCCTTCCCCGCTTGAGAACGGGGATTCTTCCTCGGAGAGATCCGAGAGGCATAGTGTCAGCTCAAGCACCAAGGTACAGTAAAGCGCAGAAACTCACTTAAGTGAGTACTAAACTTTATTTAATGCACCCTGAACTTTCCTTTCTTTTTTAAAGTGTTGTTTTTAGTTTTTTCTTTTCTAATTAAACCCACACCGGTAGACACGTGGAATTGTAAGGTCGAACGTCAAAATGGTCAGCTGTTAATTTCTTGACTAGGAGTGAGTTGTATTTCTTGTATCATTATTATTATTATTCATTACTCCATTAATCTTAAAGGTTGTTTTTGGCATAGTTTTAGTTCATGAAAATACATGAAAGTATATGCACTGCTATCTATGACAAAGATGTGGCACACTGCGCTAATAACAGGTGTCTGCTCAACAGAATGTTAGTGTATCAGATCCTGTCTGCTTTCTGTACTGAATTTCTTGTGAGGTTTGTCCCGTTGGACCAGGAAATGTGTCACAATTGATACATTCTGAGAATGAGCGTGTCTTTTTTTTTCATTTTTAATATTATCTAAAATGATCTCACTGAGAGCTGAGACTGCTGTGAATGTGGTTATTACTCAAACACTCAAAATATTAAGGTATGTTAGAGGTTTTGTGACGTCATTTGGTGCAATGGTAATGTTCAGGGACCTGTCAACGTAACTGGTGGAGTACTATGACATGTTTTCTTTCATTTGTTCACCACAATCATGCCTCTTTGTAAGGCAGAGCATTTTCTGTCAGTTATGAAAGCATTTTATAAGGTTATGGTTTGAAGCGGTCACAAACATGGCAAGAATTTGTTTGCTATGTAACTGTTTAGCCAGTGCAAAGTCTGGACCCAGATTTAAATGTTGTGTAAGAGCATTGCAAAATAGCCTGGAGGTGTGTTAAGCTGTGTTCAGGTCTCAGAATGGAGAGCGGTTTTTATTAAGGATTCTCAGGAAAAAGTGGATTTTTTTTATTTTATTTCCAGAGCAAGTGGAAAATGTGTTTACTATAAGCAGGTTGAAAGTTATAAAGAGGGGGGGGGGGGGGGGACTTACAAAACAAGTGTGTTTTCATGTTTCCTGCTACTCAATGAATAATTAATTACTTTTAAAACAAGTTCTTTGTTTCTCACACAATAAGGCCTAGTCAGAGGCTAGCCTCATGAAGCCCAGAACACCCGGTTCACGTAGGAAGACACTAGCATCACTATAGAACTTATTCTTCATTCAAACTTCATCTTTGAGCTGACTGACCGAAGCGACTACTTGTGGAAACAAAGGACATTGCTGACTGTGGCGTAATCTGGTGAGAAATACATAAACAGTTACATAAGCAACCAGAGCACGGAATGTCCATCCTAACTAAAGTGAGTTGATATTTTGCACAGCAATAACTGCTAGCTGTTCTAACTTTTTTATATGGAAATGCAGTAGTAGCAGTGTTAGCTAATCTCACTCGTAGCCACCTACAGTTGCTACACTGTACAATTAAAAAAAAAAAGATTTAAAAAGATAACGAATTAGCTGTCCAAACTCAGAGGCGAAGCTCAGTTAGAGGACCATTACGTCAAGCGCTCATTGAGCTAATGTTTGTAAAGCTAGCTCTTGGGCTACGTAACATTAGGTTAAGAGCTAGATGTTGCTGGCCTTGACTATCGGATTTCTGAGTCTTGTGTTTTGCATGGTGCAGCCACTGCCACCATAATTGTAATCATCTGGCAGAAACCCTGTCAATTTGATATTCTTGTGTAAATTCTTACTTATTGCCTGTTTGTTAAAGTGAGCTTCCAAATGTACTTTTCCTTTTTGCTTGTGTAATACCACTGGTTATCTGTTATCACAAAAGCATTCATTGCACCCATTTGTTATAACATAGTTTCTAATCTTTGGACTTGGCAAGGATTTAAGAAGTTACTCCAGTGGCCCTCTAAATCATTATTGTTAAAGTTGCAAAAGTATTTCATTCATCAAACATACAGCATTTCTACATTCCATGTGAACCAAGTTCCCACCTTTTGCTGTGCTTCTATTTAACTGGAATTTTATCTGCCTGTATCTTTGCCCCTTGACTTTACACTACGTGTAAAGTGTGTATTGGCTTGTCTGTATTGCTACAAACCATCAGCGAAATTCCTGCCTGATGGGAAACTTGGCAGAGCTTTTCTGATTGTGTGATATTGGCCATTCAGTGGGATACACTTGGGTAGCCTTGCTTGTGGTGAAACGATACATGATTTCAGTTTTCCTAAAATTCCATGACATACTTGGATATCTTCTTCTTGTTCTGCAAATGTTTTTTTTTCATGTCACATAAAAGCACAAACTAAGTGAGCATGTTAGCGTGTACCATTCGAGCTTCCAGAGTCTTCACACTACACTGAGGTTGTCTGTTGGTCACCATAGAGATCCCCGGCAGCAAAAAGAGGCTTTGTCCACAGTGATTGCCTGTGGAGAACAAGGCTTTGAGTAGACATTTAAGTCATTTCTGAGGGAAAATGCAGGTGGATGTAATCACACATAGACTTTATTTTGTGTGCATTGAAAAGTTCATGTATTCCTCTGCGCCTACTGAAGATTATAGTTTTCTTCTCATTGTTTTATTAGTGCTACAACCCTGAGTCTGTTAATAGGTGGATTTTTGAACTTTCACTGAACCATTTATAGGAGTGTGAGTGTTGCATGGTGAGTAGATTATGAGATAATGAGCTCAAAGTCTATGATATTTCTGCTGCAGTTTAAACGTCGACCAACAAACAATATATTCTCATACTGATATAACTGTGATAGGCATATGGGTGTTTTACCACTTACTAATTTTATTATCTCCACTCGATAGGTAATCTCTCTTGTGTAATGACTGTTGAGGTCATTTTATCAAACAAAAAAATGACAAACAGGACAAATGCAAAGTACTGGAGACAGTAGATAAAATTATGTACATGCAAAGATGTATATATAAAAATACAAGAATGGAGTGGAAAGGATTGCACAGTACATTACTGGATATCCCTCTGCAACCTGAAGGCTCTGTATACCTGCTGTGTTGGTTACTTTGCACAGACATAGTCATCACATAGCCACATCAATTTAGCCTATGGCTATTTATTCTCAGAGTTTTGGCACAGGTAGACACTTTTTCTGCAGTTGGTCAGTACTTGGGTTGAATACCTGAGTACTCAACAATACTGCAACAATACTGCAACATCAGCACCCAGGAGAAGTCTAAGAAATTGTCACATTTTAGTTTGTTGTTTTTTTTTAATGGTTTTCCCAAAGTCTTTTCAGGTTGTTGCAAAATCCCCCTCTGTATAATCTCCGACTCTCTAAGCTTCTGTGCTAATATTTCATTAAAATGGCAACAACAACCAACTCAGTCGTAAAAATGATTGATAGCTACTAATAGCCAAGCTGCCTATCAACTTCAGTTGAAAGGGATGGGTAGGACTTGGGATATTTATACCCATCTATTGCTGGAACTGCACATAGTAAACTACCTTTTCTATTGTCTAAGTAGATTTTTGAGGAATTAATAGTGTGGATGGTAGAAAGCGTTTGGACCTCTCAGCAGTGATCATGTAATGCATCAAATGGGTCCCACGTATTGCAAGTTATAGCTTGGAGAACATAGAAAACATCTCGAGGACTGTGTAGTATTTTGATTCTCCTTGTACAGAGTGTATGCTAAAGTTATAAATTTGTGATTGGGACCAGAATTTGAATACTTTGCCATGGGGAGCAATTTTCTCTCAGAGGATTCTTTGTATGGACTGCCGTCCAAAACAAACTCCATTAAACTGCTGTTGGTATCATCTGACTGAGCACATTCCCAAAGTTTACAAAATACTGTGTTTATTATCCAAGCTTCTCTCCTTCATTCGTAACATTGAAGAACATGGAGACAACCATTCACTTTAGGCGTTTTAGGCTATTTAAGGACCTTCCAAAGTAGAGGAGACTTTCAGCCTCTGTCATCATTTTGTTGGCTCAGGCTGTGGATGAACTGTATAGTTAAGCTGTCTGGAGAAAGCCTTTTATATCCACTGCTCAGGCTTTTTGGTATTACAGAGATTATAATTACATTTGTTGCAACCAATTAGGAAAGCATCTTTGATATCTCTCCCTCTTTTCAACTCTGAGTGCATTGATACTTTGGTACATATGGGCTCCTGTGTCACCAAGCTGTGGGCTCAGCCTGTTTTCAGCTCTGATCAGTCAGCAGTAGCTAAATTGGGCATTCAGCATGACAAAACAGACTGAGTGTGCACATAGACCAAAACATGCTTGAACTGAAATATGTTGCTACTGCTTATCTGTATCTGGTTGATGGTGGCATGCGGCTTAACAAAGTAATGCTTCTCCCAACCACCTCCATCAGCTCCTGGTAGGATGTGGTAATTCTTCCATAAATCCCTGGGCCCTCCTCAGAGCATCCTTCTAATGGGATATTTCAGGAAAACCACAAATGGGTTCACAAGGTATTCTGCCGGCTCCACCTCAGCCAAATAATAAAATTAGCACAGAAGAACTTCATTTGTTCGCCTATCTAACAAAGAGGAAGAACAATTGGCTCAACTAACTCAAAGACTTCTAGTTCCTCTCCAAGCTCTTGCAAAAACTCACGAGCTACTCTGAAGGCCTCAGTTAGCATGTTACATGTTAAAATTAATAGAAATCCGGTTGTTAAGTGATGACGTGATGAATCCTATTTCCGGG